GAGAGTGAACATGTGCGTCAGGTCAACGTTGGCTGAGCGTGCGTGTCAGCTGTGGCTGGGGCCACAATTTTATTTTTTGTTGTAGATTTTTTGTTTAAATTTTTGCTGCATTTTTATTCTGTCATTTTTTTATTAATTCATAATGAAATTTTTATAAACAGAACAAAAATGTAGTTTAAAAAATACAAAAAACTTTTGTAATTTACTTTTTTAACTACAAGATTCAATTTGTTTTAATAAATTTTTTTATACGAGTGTATTCAAATATTGCCTATTTAGGGCAAATACAGAACAAATTTAAATATCACCCGCAGCGGTGGACGTAGGTCAATTCCCAAATGCCATGCTGGAAAGCATAGAAATGCAATCAAAATATTTTAAATGAGCATATTTTACTAAACTTTCAATTTACTTAAAAATGCAAATTTAATTTTTTTGTATCGTTTAAAAAATCTAAACTATACTTTCAATGTTTGATTAAATAAAATAATTAAAAAATGAAAAAATGAATTACAAATACTATAGGTTTTAAATTATAAAACATTTTTTTAAAGTTTAATTTAATTTTAAAAAGTTAATTAAATTGTGAAAGTAATAATCTATCAATTTATAAAACATTTCACCAAAGTTTTTTTTCTACAGGGCAATTTTCTGGATTAATTAACTGACTGATATAGTGCAGCAAAAACACTTCTGGTGTTCATTTGTAAAAACTTTTTAACATTAATTTTTGGGAATTGATTGCATAAATTCTGTTTTTTTACTAAAAATTTGTATAGCTAATGTTGTCAATTAATTTTTTGTTCAATCTTGTTGTTCAACCAATGTAAAGTTTTTAAAATCTGGCAAAACTTTCATTTTTTAGTTTTTATCAGCAAACTGGTTGACTCAGGTATCTGAAGTTTAGCAGTAGTTGCTATAGCATTTTCAGTTTCAACACAAGATTTAGCAAATGCGCAAATTATTTTTGCAAAAACTTAATTGCACTAATAGAAATGAAATCGATTTTAGATGTGCAAACAATTGATTGTTACAAACTATTATACTTAGAAACAATGCTAGTAAAATCCAAACTGGTGACATTTTTAATAACAGATTAAGAAAAAGTGTTTTTTTGCTCAAATTGATTAACACAAAGTGATTGAAAGTAATTTGTGATGTAACCAATGAACAATTTTTTAACATTTTTTTAAATTATTGAAAATGTACATTATTGATTATAATTTATCGTTAAAAAAAGTAAGTGCATTAAATTAAAAATTTTATTATGTTTATCACTTTTTAGATACGCTCAAATAGAAAATAACTTTATTTTAATCATTTTTTAATCAAAACAACATGCCACCAGAGAGTCATGATAAAATACATTTTGTTTTGTGCAATTTGGGAACATTAAATATTATTAGTTTCTTAAAAGTTATAAAAATACAACATTATGCATAAACAAAAAATAAGCGTTTGTAAGCAGTTTTTTAGTAAAAAAGTTTTTGTGGTAATAAAAAATAATTAAACAAAACAAAATTAAAATAAATTTTTAAATATGTTTTTTGGAAAAATAAATAAAAAACTTTGTTATTAGAGGACTGCATCGGTAGTGGACACTTCAAGGATGAAACCCATTTTCTTGCAAATGTAAAATTGCATTGTTTCAAAAATTTGCTGCAAATCTTTCTATATTGTTGTTTTTCAATTTGCAATAAAACAAGTTTATCTTAGTTTTGTTAAATTAAAAAACTTCCTACTTACCCGAAATGATTTGCTACTCCACGAGTAGATGAGAGGGTTAACAAAACTGTTGGCCATTGCAAACCACGTACAAAAGATGTAGGAGTAGACGTGAGCAAAAAGCTGCTGCTCACTGCACATTGGAAGCAGTTCATAATAGCTCAGAATTTGATAGACCTTTATTGGCGTCCAGCAAAGAACGTACATGATAATGACGACGAGGAGGCGGATGGTCTGCACAAACGGAAGATAAAGGCGACATTTATTTGACAGTACAAGCTGAGTAGTGGCACTTTTTTCACTCAAATGCTAATGAGTGCTTGGTAAGTTTTTGTGTGCATGTTTTAAGCTCAAACACGTACCAGAGCACGATTATCAACGCGAGGTGTTCTTCGCAACTGAATACCTGCGCTTATTCGCCGCCGACTCAGCTGAACTGTCGGTTGCTGCTGATGTGACGGCTGCTGATATTGCTGCTGATGCTGCTGCTTTTGTTGTTGCTGTGATTTTCCCCCAGAATTACCCGCCACAGCCGTTTCGTTTGTCTGCAAATGAACGACACATTGTGAGTGGAATTACTTGCAGAGACAAACCGACTCACTGCTTGAAAGTGTAAGCTTAGCTAGACAGACAGCTGAACAGAGAAAAAGAAGGCAGCTGTCCAACGCTTTTCAAAGAAATTCCTTTTTGTTTTGTTGTCATCTTTGCAAACTTTTATTTTTATTTACATTCAGATGATCATTTGCAGGCAAGTTGTTATTGAATCAGTTAGTAATGAGTTCGCTTCCTGAAATGAGGCAAGTTTGACAATAGTGTCTCCTTTTCTCACTCTCATTTCAGAATAGCCTAAACTAATCAATACACTTGGAACCACACTGTTGCCTCTGGTAGGGCAAACTTTTGGCAAAAATAATTGGCACACTAACCGTTTGTACCTTGAGGGAGTTTCACTATTTTGAGCAACACATTTAAGAATAACAGCCGTGTTATGGTAAAATACTAATAGAAGAAGGGTGTGCGTTCTCTCAGCTGGTGACTGAATAATAGGGCAAACAAAGAAACAAAAGAGAAAGTAATTACAAACCTGCTTGTTGTTGGAAGAAACAGACATTACATTCAGTGCCTCCAGTGACCGCTGCTGGGCCCGTTTTCGCCGCTGAATGCGCATAAACTTGAGTATAATCTGCGAGTAGGTGAAACTGAGCAAGAGGACGGGCCCGGCGTAGGTGAGGATGAAGTTGGCCAGGTGAAAGAGCTGCGGCTCGATGCTCCACTCCCAGTCGTTTTCGCTCATACTGCACTCCACGTAGACAGCGTCCTTGAAAATGAATTCTTTTGTAGTGGTGTGTCTCAGCGGAGTGATCCCATAAGCGATGGCCAGTAACCAGGTCATGACCAATAAAGCACTGCAGTGCGACTGCAGCCACTTGTGCAGACCGCAGAGTGGGTGAAGCGTGGCGATGTACCTGTGGCACGAGGTGAATTTGAACACCGATGAAGCCGATAGATCGGTTTGTCAGTTTAATTTTAAATACCATAGCATGTAAAGTTATTTCAACTACAAAAGCATGCTCTTTATTTGTAACTCATTTTCAGCGGTAATTAATAGAAAAGATGCTGTTTTTTCCTCCATTTTTTCAAAATCTCTAGAGACTCTCGTAGTTTGTAATTTAATCTTTTCATTTTGAAATTACTGTAATTAGACTGTTTTTCAAATTTATTAAGGCCACTTACCGCTCAACGCCAATGAGCGAAAGTGTGAAGGCGGTGACAAAGACGGTGACTAGTTGGAGCCATTGCGTGGCGGGACAAAGAAAATGATAAAATAGCCATCGACGGTACACGGCATCGGTGAAAGAGAAGGGCACACAGAAACTGAGTAAGACATCAGAGATGGCGAGGTTGATGAGGTACTTGCGCATGTTGCGCGGTGATCGCTTCCCAAAGAGCTGCACCACAATCACCAGCACATTGCCGACCAGAGCAAAAAGGGCGGTGATGGTGAAGGTGACGGCGATTAGCACTTGTCCACTCAACGAAGAGATCGTTTCCCGGCTGTCCAGCTCAAAACAGCCAGTTTCATTGGAGATGCCCATACTCTGCTGTTCAGAGAGGTGGAAGCCTGCAGTGATGGCGGCAGACTGCCAACGCCGGTTCACTGTGTCGGGCCATTTTATATTACCGCAGAAAAGACTGACTGACTTTGGACCAACTGCATTCCTACACAAACACTGTTGGTCTCAATTGGTCCATGGGTGTTTCTATCTCTCTTTTTTCTCTCTCATTGGCTTGGGTTTGCACACATACATTGACGTTTTCCTTTCTCTCCCTTTTCTGCGGAATGCATTCTGCACACATTGAGCACTTTTTTCATATAGAAACAGCTGTAGCAACCGAAACCACCCTTTGGTGAGCCACTTCAGGAGAAAAGTGTTACCCTCGGGTTGTGTGTAACACGTTAGAAGAACACTAAAATAAGAGAAAACAAGAACAACTTTTTTTCTTTAGTTGAACTTGAACTTTGAGCAACAAATAAACTCTGATTAGCAAGGGAAATTTATTTTCTTGTTGTCGTACAAAAAATTGCTCAACAAACAAAATAAAGTGCAGTGTAGGCGTGCAGAATACGAATGCAATCACACTGGTCTACTTTGACTGACAAAGTCAATGCTCTTGTATTGTAGATCTATTACGTGAGAAAAATGTCGTTTTTTACTTAAAAAATTCAATTTAATCTGTTCTTTTTCACACTAAATTACTCTTGGAACGCACACTTAACACTTTGTATTACTTGTTTCTAACTTTTTTTCTATTTTATTCCATTTTTTAAAAAAACATTTAACGATTAATACATGTTTTTTATGTTTGTCTAAAAATTCTTGACAAAACAATTTATTTTTTACAAAATTTTTTTAAGTTTTTTAAAATAAATTTTTCTGCAGTATTTTAAAACATGAAAACTTATTTGATATATTTAAAAAACAATTTGATGTTGTTAGATTTTTAAATATAGTTTTGTTTGCTATCATGATGTAAAGTTTAACCGGATGGAATTTACAAAAAGGTTTTTAAACTTGTGTTAACTTAAAAATTGCATTTTACTATTTTAAGCAATTGTACTTTTTTGTATTTCAATTAGTAAAATAAAATTTTCCAGCAGTACTAAACGCACTGAGTATCTTTTTATTTAATCATTTTTGTTTGTGCCATCAAAAAAACTAACCCTATTTTTTAAAATCTTGTTTGTTAATAAATTTGTGTGACAAAACCTCGATTTGTATTTTTGGTTAATTAGATAAAATCAAGTACTTTTTGTGAAAATCTTCTGTCAACAACAGAAAATCAATTTAGTAGACACGAAAAATCTTTGTGATCGTTTCAAGTGAAACTTATCTTTTTTAATGTTACACGACAGATTGTCAGACACAGAACCGTTTCAAAATTTTTAGATTTTGTTTATCGTTTGCTAGATCATTTTATTAAACAAACTTAATGTGTTTTTAATCAAATTTAAAACGACAACTACAAAATCACAGCACTCTGGATAAGTAACCCGTCCTTAGAAATTGAGTAACGTTCAAGTCAATTATCGTAAAACAAACAAATAAAACACTACTATGTTTGCAATGTACTAAATTAGTAACAATTAGTAACGAGAATGTAAAAAAAGACTTTCTGTTTTTGAGTGAAATTTTGTTGGATAATTTGGGCAACAGCGACAGATAAAGGAAGTGATCTGAGAGCTAGAATAAAGAGGGTATCTGCCCCTCACTCTTGCTCTCACTCTCACTTGGCATTGATGCAGTGATCCGGTTTAAATTAAAATTTTTTCCCCTTTTAACTGCTGTATATTTTTAGAAACTAAAATGCAGCCAGCTGATATCTGCATCCATACCGAAAGTGAACTTGTGCCCTTGCAGCATCGCCTATTTAGGTAATTACAAGCAATCACAAAGTTAGTTGAGTGCAAAGCACAATGAAACTAAGACAACAAAATATCGCACACAGAGAGGAAGACAACAATTCACTGTTGCAGCCAAATGAACTGCAATGCTAAAAGGGGCGCCGTACTGCAGTCGACCCTGTCTATCGATTGGGACAGTGTGCTGCACATAGGCATCCTGGCGGCTTATCAGCAAGGCAGTCAACTGGCAGAAACAAAGAGCGTGAAAGCAAGGCAGACAATTACGCTCCAATTGGCTGCCTTGTTCAAAAGTTATCGCATTGTTAATTGCTCCAGTGTGAACACAGTGCATTGGAGAATGTAACAGAACAACGTATTGGCAGATAAAGCAAGAGGCGGTAGGCTACTGAACAAGCACTGTGTGAACATAATGTGACGCACGCACAAGCTGCCAATTTTCTTTGTCAGGTGTCCAGTGCGATTGATAAGATGCTGGACAGCAACCAGAAAGGTATAGAAAGTGCTTTATCAAAAGGTGACTACTTGAACCAGTGATAAATTAGAGTGTGCCGATGCTGTGATGATGACAACATAGCCGTAACTGGACTGCCACTGGTACAGTCAGAAAAGAAAGAGTGAACACGCTCAAGACTCTCTGACCGAGGTAAACGATTAATCATCACCAGACAAACAGTCTAACCAAAACTGGTGGCGATGCTATATAAATAATACCTGGTCGGCTGAGTAAAAACAAATTTGACAATAGTCTAATTTTCTAAGCTTTTGCCTACAACTACACTTTAAACGACATTCCAAATGAAGATTTTAAAACTTTCTACAGCTTTCTCATTTCTTTTGCTAGTGCTCATTTTTGTCTTATGTTCTAGTGGTACGTTTTTATTTTATTTTGTTTAAAATTTTAATCTGTCTAATGTGTCTGCAAAAATGTCATGAGTTTTAAATTTTTTCTTTTTTTCTAACACCAGCTGCACCGACAAATTCTTTCAATGAAGAAATGGTGAAAAATGCCAAGGTAAATAGTGATTCTTTTTACCACAAATGATTGATCACTTGGAAATGTAGTTAATTTTTTGCATTTATTAAACTTTTGAAAAAGAGTTTGAAAAATGTTAAAACTCAAATTAATAAAAAATTTTGCATTTTTAGTTTTTACAATTTTTTGTTAAAAAACTAATAAAATTTATTTTTTTTAACAGAAAGAACCAAAGAAACAGTTTGATCCTTTTAAGTTTAAGAAACGCTCAATCATGAATGCATGAACATGCAATTTTAATTCTAGAAGTATTTTTTTGCTAGTTGAGCCACAATTTGTTCAACTTGTATGTGTAATTATTCCATTTATTTATTAATTAATTACATAGCATAAATAATTGACGTCAAATTATGTAATTATTTGTTCATAATTTGTTTAGTTTTATTAAATTAATAAAAAACAAACATATTTATTTTTAACTGTTTACTCAAACCAAGATTTATGCACAACTTTTTAATAAAAGTAAAAACTTACCTAAAAAATGTCTATTGTAGTATTGAATTTTAAATTATTGCCATAAATAAATATTGACTGTTTATTAATAAAATACATTTTTAACGCTGAAAAATGTTACCAAAAAGTTATTGTTAATGTTTGCTTTTCACAATTTTTTAATTTTATGATGTTTTCTACTGTTTTTTTATATGTACTAAAACTCATTATATTGAATTTATTTGACTGCCTAAGGTTGTTGTTAGTGAATATTTGCAATACAATTCTGGCTTTTTTCAACAATTCACAAAATGATGGATTTGCTTGTCCATTAAACTCTAATGGAGTTAACCGGGCTGTTAACTTTGTAAAAACTTGTGGCATTTATTTCATTCCTAAAGATTTAAAATTTACTTCAGTTCCCTCACTTTACTTGTCATTAATTCACTCAATTCATTATTTTTTTTAAACAATAGATTAGTTTCAATAGCTAGTGTCACATTGTCATTAAAACAGAAAAAACTCGCATTGCCGAGTGAATGCACCAATCATTGTAACTTTGATTTTTGTTGCCAAAATCACCATGGAAGCAAGCTACATCAAAATGAAGGTTGACATCTAAAGTGTTTTTTTTTGGCAGAGCGGATATGTTCGGTAATGTAGCGTTCTCAACTTGGGATATCCATGTCCGGGCAACAATAGTGGAAAACTATAGTAAAAGCGTAAGTTGAAGTTGCAGCAACAATGATAGCTGAATAATTAATGAGTTATTTTTTATTAGTTATTGTCTTTGTGTTTTTTACTTCTTGCATAATAAATCTACTGTAAAGTGCACTCTTGTCAATTTTCATTTTTCAATTGAACAAACTGGTTTTTACCTGGTTTGTAGACTGATAAAACTTCCTTGTTGTTGTGAAAAACTACACACTGTTACCTTTAATAGTTTTACAGTTCATTAGAAATATCAGCAACGATAACAACTTGACTCCTGAAGTTCTGTTTCAGTGCATTGCTTGAAATTATTCCCAAAACGAATAAGAATCACACTTCAGGCTTCCAACTAACTTTGCATACAATTGGTTTACGACTAATTTATGTCGCCTAGATGCGTTAAATCATTGAATCCAAAATTTATTATTTTACAATATTTGAATACTTTTTTGTGCATTAGTTTTCAAATAAATTGCACCTATTCAGATTGAAATAAAAAATAAATTTTCTAACTGATTGCTAGAGTTCAAATAAAAAGTAAAATGTTTCAAAATCTTGTTGTTGTTTTGTCCACTACCACAATTTCCTTAGTGATAAAAAAAACTTGCTTGATATGCAATTTGCTCTACCACACATTTTATGCATTTATGCACATACTTTTACAAAAAACAAGCAGACAAACATATCATCTTTTTCTTATATTAATATTAATAGACCAGCAAAAACGAACACGCCACGGGTGGTGACAAGATAAGCTCAACTTAAGTCAACCAAATATTGTTGATCTTCAATGTACTAAAACTCCCCTTTCAAATTTTCAAATATATCTAAATTATTATTGCAAAAAATATTTAAGGCGAGAGTGAGTCGAACTTTCTATTTTATTGGCTCTCGTATTATTCCTATATGAATTGTCGTTATTCTGCCAACTCTTATAACTCAACTTCTAGAGTACCTGAAATTTAGGTTAAAATCTCAAATTAAAGTTTAAGAGT